CTCGACCTTTGTCTAGATTCCCGGCTTTAATAGGTCTACGGTATTATATGATTACCTCCGATGGAGATTAGATTAGATACTTTAGATCGGGAGTTCGGGGACCTCGAGTCTCGACTCGAGTCGAAGAAACCCATTTGCGGGTTTTCATTGAGGATAATTAACACAACTTGTTTGGAAATTTTTACATACAAAATATGTCATCAATAATATTCAGCAAAATTAATTGACACCATCGTCTGTGACGTGTTAATCGACACTGAAATATTAAAATGTGTTATTTTAATATTATTGTTAATATGGGTTTTGTCGTTATTATTATAACTGTTGTTATTATTACAACTGTGGGGCAATATATTCCCTTTTGTTGTGAAACGATCGACAAGGAACAGGGGTATTTTTGCCGGCCGTCCTCTTTTCGCAACGCCACCGTTCGTGCGCGAAAATTGCGAATTACTAAATGCAAGGCTAGAAGATGCGGAGACGAGTCGGAGAACCGCGCGGTTCTTATTTCATATAGCTGTTGTGTAACGGAACATTCTGAAGGTTGCCACTCGTTGTTGCGATCACCTTAAATTCCGATGTTCGTGTGTATCGCGGAGAGATAGAGAACTGCCGAGGGTATCCCGAGGGGGATATATACTTCCCGAAGAGAGCGGGAACGCTAAACGCGCTAATTACTTTTACCCGTGAAGCATCGTTAGTTGTCTAACCGCGAGCAAAGCTCTCGAACGCAGCTCTCGTACGGTCGAACTTACGGGAATTACGGCCGACACGAGCGTAAAAACGCACGTGTATCCGTATTCCTCATGCGATCGTGGAGAAACGTGCAATTTGTTCTCCAGTCGCGTTTACATCGATACTGCATCGTCGCGAACGTGCGCCGGGAGGAAAAAAATAATTGATCTCTCTGAAATTACATTGTTTTTTTTCCCCGACGATTTAATCATACTTCCTGCAGTCCTGACGAAAAAAAAAAAAAAATAACGGCAATATATACATAAATTTATTGTCGCCAACACTGCCCGGGTCGAAATTTTGGTCCTACGTTAAATCTACTTTGTTCTACAAGTCTCCACATGGAGGAGACAGAAATAACGGGAACTTAATAGTTTAGTGCACCTTCGGTGCTACAAAGAAAATTTGGACCTCACGAGGGGAAATTTTAAATTCTACGTTAAGCCTTCAAGTGGAGAAATCGGAGATAACTTTCCATTTGTAGCATTAAAGGAGCACAATAGAAGACTGATGAGGATTTTAATGTTGAACTAAAATTTCGACTCGGGAATATTTGTTATAAAAACGTTCTTTCTGACTACGATTACCTCACTACCGTACAATTGTAGCCGCGAATACCAAAGATTTTTTAGATCTATTCTAGATCGGTGACGATGGTCGACCGTCGTGTTTTTCCCGTGGAATTGAACAAACAACATTGAACCTTCCGCCGTGGCGATGATTCGCGATGACCAAGGAACGGCGATGCCCGGTGCATCCACGGTGCGCCAGGTGTACGAACGTGAGGTGCGCGCATACGGAATAAATAGCATTACACGCTACACATTACGCTACACTACACGCTACACGCTGTAACATATTACATGTTGCGTCTTCGAACATCCGTACAGACGATTAAGCGTTCCGTCGAAGCCGACACTATTATCACTTCGCATCCGTAATTTATCGGCTTACCCGGAAAATATGTGCGGATTTGTCGAAGATATATGTAAGACGAAATATCGTAAATCGAAAGTCGTAAAAAAGAAAGGAAATCACGAGAGAATTTGCAAAGCTTACGTGTAATATCGAGACAGGCTTTTCCCTTACATGGAAAAAAACAAATAGTCTGAATCATTGATAGATATTCTCATGTATAAGCAGGAATGTTATATTCTTGGAAAATGTTTAATTTCGAATTGAACGCAAGTAATACTCCATCAATACAAGTTCGATCAAATCAAATCTAAAAATCCTCTCTAAGATGACATAATATTCTTACTTACGTATAAAAATATTATGGATGTAAAACTAATTGTTTCCCGTGCAGAGAAACCTAAAAACCACATGAAATTTCCCGCGCTTACTTCCTATTGGCAGTCAAATAGTTCGCATTCGCGATCACGTAGAGATTCGTTTATTAAATTAATTTTGAATAATTTAATAAACGATAAGTCACACCGGGAGTCTCCGTATGCGACCTGGCGCGATCCGTTCTGACCGGCGGTATCAATAGTAACGCAATCAACTGTCGGATGTAACACGGCACTACGTTTGCGTGAAGAGAGAGAGAGAGAGAGCGAGAGAACTCACCTATTTCGAGATAACGGTATAAGATCGTAAACGATGCGCGAGATACATTACAGTTATGCAGTGCGCCTGCTTTTATTCCACGAGAGATTAAACACGCCCCTTTTAACACTTCGACGGGCAGTCGAGGAGATGCAACATTAGTAAGCGCTAAATACTATACGAGCAGGTACTCGTACAGCGAATTATTGCCTGATAATCTCCGCGCGATCTTCACGCAGACACACATGCAGGCGTGCGCGTGCAGAATAATTTCGAAACTTGACGTTAATGTAATTTATACCACGGGTACTAGGGGCATTACTTTATAGCAGTCCGCGAACGGAAAGTGCGCGTTCGATGTGTCCGTGCACTTTCTCGTCTCCCCCGTGTTAAAGCGCGAGGGCGCGGTGCAGGTGCGTACTTTTATGCATCTCCCGCACTCGTCATTGCGCGCGTTTATACGCACTCGTGCCTCATCATTTTCATACGTTGCATACGTAGAGGAGATGCAATGCGGCCTGGTGATACACGCGGCACCGATACGATCCCCGATAGTTCCAAGGTATCGCTGGAAGAAGGAAACGCGTCGGGGATACGAACGTTCGGCGGGACACGCGGAGTTAAATTACGAACGTACGCGCTCTTTCTAATCGGACAGTCATCCCGTCGGATTCGTGAGATTCCACCGAGCAGAGAGAGAGAGAGAGAGAGAGAGATCGCTTTTTATCGCCGCGTTATTCGTATAGCGAATGTATGCCAGAGACTGATCGGTTCGAGGACACGCAGCCTCCGGGCTATAGTTTTACTTTCTACGGCCGTCGTTTGGTGAAGAGCGAAAGAAAGAAAAAGGAGGGATTTACGGGAATTATAAGCGGGGGGGAGGAGGGGGAGAGGGGGGAAGAAAAAAGGAGATCCGTCGCGGCCGAGATACTTGCCGTATTTTACATACGGCACCGATTCCGTTCCTTCGAGTCTCCTCGTCGAGTCACGCTTGTCCCACCTCGAGGTGGGCATTCGTCTCGAATTCGTGTCGCCACGCTTACGTAATCACCTGTGAAAAAAGAGAAGGAAAAGAATTGCGGTACGTTAAGCTCGCGCGCGCGCGCTCTCGTTATAACGTACGGGTATACGTCTAATCGATGGGATGCCGTCGACGATAGCTGTTGTCCCTCGTTCACAAGGACAATGGACATCTGCCGCCCCGGTGCACAGCGCGCTTCCCAAACGGCAGGTTCCCATGACCGGCGGAGAGTCAGGTGTGCTTAACCGCGCGGAGGTGTAGAAAGAGCGAGGGCTAAATAAACCGCGCTTCGTCCTGCGACGATGTGTAGTGCACTGGGGAATAAAGAGCGGTTGGATCGGTGGAAATCGGTGGTCAGCCATATTCAAGAAAATATTGTGCCCACGTAAACGCAAATTACGCGTCGGCAGAACGATACGTTGACGCATCTGCCGATCAAATCGCGGTATCGTTGAATCAATTGATAAACTCATCACTCAGCGACTGTATAAGTTGTTCAATGGATAATAAACGTCGTGCTTGAAGAGATTTCGTTCATCTAAGCAAAGTTTCATCGATTCTGCCACTTTTTCCCTCCGTCCGGTGCGCCGTGTTTCTTCTCTTCTCGCACAGACTGTCGTCGGTAGAAATTTTGTCGATAGAGGAGAAAGTGGTTTTCATGGCTTTGTAAGTGTTACGGCCTCCCTTAATATCTCCGCTGTTAAGTGACGAATTCTGGTAATGATTTATGGATTGATTTGTTTAGTTGCTCGCCGTTAACGCAGCGTGTGAAAAAGACGAAAAGCTGCTCGGCCGTGAAGCTTATATGCCGTATTTGGTAGGCGCGCGCGCGTCTACATTGGAAAATGAAGAGGGCCTTGTCGTAAGCCAGGTCCAAATTAGGACTTCGTTCGGACGCCGTGGAGTATTAACAGTTTCGGCTGTTATTACCCAAGACGACGTGTTAAATTTGTGCGTGAAGTTCGATCGCCGGTGAAAGCTATGAAATAAAGCGCCGACACGGCCGTCGAACTCCGCGATCCTAACGAGATGAAAACTCACGCATTTCTCTCCCGCGATCGATAGCTTGCGCTCTCGTCTCTCTCAGCCGGGAAAATTCGTCGTGCGTTGCTGGCAGGTACTCTCAGTCGTTAAACATCGTCTCCCGATCGGCCGTATTCTCAGCGAGAAACTGAGATCGCGCACCCAGGAAGAATCGTCGCGAAAAGTAAGAAATAGGAAGAAGAGGAGGCGCGGGTTCGTTGTCCGATTACCTACCTGTGCTTCTTCCACGATTTGGCTCTTTTTTTTTTATCCGAAAACACGCGTATACACACACCGTGTAACGCACGCGCACGCACGGACGTCGATGCACATACGCATCGACGGTCTTTTCGTGGACGAGGGCTGACGTCATCGCACGACAAACCTTTCAAGGAAGTCCTGTCTCGCGAAGCCTCCACCTTGCTCCCTCCCACGTTTCTCTCCTTTCTTCGCTCTTCTTGCGCGAACGGGGGGGTGTTCCGGTAGAATTCACCGGCTGAGCGACACCGTGAGACCCTTCAATTTTCGAAAACCCCTCCACGTTCGCAGCGGCTTTTGCCACGGAAACGGCGGAGGAAAGTGCACGAATCGACAATTGTTAGCTGCTTGATATCGACCCATCCGGCTTCGTATCGCGCGCTGCATTATCGCTTATTGATTTCTTTTGCAGCGCACCTCGTGCCACGATGCGTCTTTTCAAACGTCACACGCCCGACACGAGCCCGCAGCTTGTCTCGGCGGTGGCCATTTCCCAAGATTCCGACACTACGGAGAATGTCGAAGATGACGAGAGGTCGACGAAGAAATCCAAGCTGAATACGAAGGACGAGTCGGAGGGTATCGTTCCAGTCAAGGAAGACGCGCAAAGGGAATCGACCAACTCCTCCGTGCATAATCGCAGAGGTAGGAATACGATAACATTACGACGATCTGCCGTATCGGTGATGTTACGACAATACGTTGCAATGCTATCATTGCTAGGGATGTTACGATACCATGAAAGTATCGATACTAATATTGAAATGGATATCTAATCGCGAGTATCGTTATCATTAATGATACCGGTATCAGAACAAGATATCAATATTGATACGGTATCGAAACTTGAGGAAACCAGAGGAAATATAAAAATCAGGGAAATGTTCGTCCTGCAAGCTACTCTTCGTACGCCTACGCATAATAATCTTACTGCGGTATAAAGATACTTCTATCTTCTGCGCTGGACTTGCCACGGTTTATTATTCGAACGCTTTTAAAAGGATATGTTAAAGCTCCCGTGTCCTCGCTGTGACTGTTATCCTTGTTTGATGACGTCAGAAGCGAGAAATCGCATGCCAAAAATGATTGCGGCATACGTGGAAAGAAAACAATATGCACACAAAATGACACTCGTGATCGACTCCGCATATTAGTAAATATGTCCGAACGCTTTCCTTTTATTTCAGCAGTCAATAAATAACCGTGGAATTGACGTAACCCGAAATCATGAGAAAGAATAGATTTCAAAGGTTTGAAATAACTTGCATGTTATATTAATTTTCATGAAGCAAAAATATATGATACCTTGCAGATCGATTGAGTGAAAAGTAAAAAGAGGATATCGAAAATATATTGAAACAAAGTAATATTGATATAGATACGAATATCTGAAGAAAATATCAGTATTATACGAATATCAGTAACATCACAATAATCCTAAGTATTGCATTCTATTTTGCCTCTAATAATCGCTAATTATTAAAGTTAAGCTTCTCTGACATATATTAAAATCCTCGAAAGGATTCTCCACGTGGGGGCGAAAGATGGGTCGGCGATGGGACCAAATTAGAAGATCGGACAGCTCCGAATTGCCACCTTTATCACGACATCGACGACGGTGGACTCCGCATTGGAAGAGTCACGACGAGCTCCCGAGCGAGAGAGAAAACGTAATGTCAATCATAATCATCGTCATTAGCCTAATAATGATACTAACGTGTCACGTAGCCGCAGCGAATGTCGTTAATTAATAATCGTAAAACGTCAAACAAGGTCGCGAGAAACGTTTTTATTGATTTATCTCGCCTTTTTGACGCGGGAACACAAGTCCCTTTTGTACATAATGTAAATAACGATATGATATAATAATAACAATAATTTATAGGTACACAAAAAAACGCACAGACGGAATATATAAAAAAGAAACACAATATAAGATAAAAGAAAAGAAGAAAAAAAATGAGTAAAAAAGTAAGAAAGGGGAACAAACTATGCAGGCTTATTTAAATGCTTAATAATATGTCTCAATGTGCATAATATGTCATACATGTCAATTAAGTTATTAGGAGTATTTCCAAGTATGGATAATCGATTAAATAGTTAAAATCCTCCACAAAGGATCCTGTTCCTTTCCGCGTGAAAAGGCAGACGCGTTCTGATTGACCGGGCCGGGCATATTAAACAAAACTAAATGTAGCATATATCAGGACACATAATTAAACACTTCTCAGAATCGAACCCGATAAGAAATAATCAATCATTATTCCGAGTAATCGACGATTCCAGGTTAACAGCGAGTGCCCGAAGCCAAAGAGACTCCCCCGGGTGGAATCGCTGAGAAACTTCTTCAGGGGCGATCATTTCCACAGCACGAAGACTTTCCTGAAGACGGTGACGATACAAGAGGAGGACGTCGTCCTTCAAGCCCCGCCGGAAAGGACGATGAGCGAAGGGGCCGCCTCGGCCGTTTACCCTGAGAGTTTCGACGATTGCGAGTACGCGCGGATGAATCGGGAGGAGTTCCTCCGGCAGAAGAAGGTACAGTTGAATCGCAGCATCGAGGATCTCCAGGAGCAGAAGCGGCTGTTGGACTACATACTCAAGCACAAGGAGATACTGAAGTCACAGCGTGGCGATACATTCGTGAGAGAAAGCTTGGAGATCGTTCATACGAACACTCCGGATTACTCCGGCGGCCGTTCGTACGCGGAGGACACCAAGAACAACAACGTCCAGACGACGCGGACGTCCGGTCTCCAGCTCGGGAACACCGGTTGCCGGGTGAACGGTAAAGAAACGTTCAAGGAGAACGCTCGGGCTCTTCCGGTCGCGTCCAGTACGCTGACTGGTCTGGAGGACCTGCTGAATAATCTGCGTCTGGGTTGCGACGAGAGTGGCTACGATTCGGACAGTACGCGTGCCGGCGCGGACTCCCCGGACAGTGAGAAAGCGGCGATACCGCCGATACTGTCGGACGATTACCAGGACGTGGTGATTTTGTCGCTGGCGGATCTCACCACAGCAGGGAGGAAGGACGCGAACGGCGCGGCGACCGGGCCGAGCGAGCCGTCGCGCGCCGCCGCGAGAGTCGAGAAAGGACGCGCGGCGAACAACGGCCTGTCCTTCGGCGAGTCGAGCAGAAACCGATCGTTAATGTCGGAAATGGACGGTGACGACACGGACAGTTGCGACGAGAATACTTTCGCCGATTTTCTCGAATACCAGCCGGACCTGACGAGAATCTATACCAAGGAAGAGGCGGAGCGTCTTCGTGACACTCTGAAAGAGGTATCCGCGAACGGCCCCCCCACCTTGCCCGACGATGATCCGAGGAAGGTCGTCCCCGGCGAGGATCACGCGAGCGAGAGGCAGCATCGCGTCGTCAGCGTGCCCTACGCGGTCAAGTTGCAGGCCCTGCTGAAGGAGAAGAGGTCCAAGAGCCAAAAGTGCTCGAGTCCGAGCGTGCAGCATCTCTTGGAGCACGCGGCCTCTCCGGGCATGGACAGTCCACCGGCCAACAAGATCTGCCCCGCGTCCGGAATGACGAGCGAGTCTCTGCGATATTACAACCCGAAGAGACTGCACTCTACCTTGGAGCCGGACACCACGGATGTGGCGAGGAACGCCGCGAAGAAACAGTCGACGAAGGGCGCGGACAAGCCGTCCTCGGCGAAGAACCTGGTGCGACGCGAGCTCCGGACGATGAAGCTCGCGGTGAGCCACGCGACCGGTCTCGGTATCTCGGTGGAACGATGCGAGGCGGCCCGACCGTACTACGTGATCGCCAGGATGGAGCCGGACGGCGAGGCCGCCAGGTCGGGGCAGTTCCGCGTCGGCGACGAGATCGTCCGCGTCTGCGGACGAAGGATACGCGGGATGTCGATGGCGGAGGCGCGCAACGCCGTACGCAGCTGCGTCGGCAACGTCGAGCTGCAGATCGCGCGCGAGCCGAGCTTCGCCTTCGGCGAGGAGATCGGCGACACGTTCGCGCGGTCGCGCCACGACTCCGACGAGGCGTGGCTTCTGAAGAAGAACGGGCCGCCGTCCGAAAGCCATCCGGTCGACACGACCGTGATCGAAGACGGAGCGGACGCTCGGAGTCTCCAGAAAGTCACGGGGATGAAGAAGTTCCAGATCGTGAGGAAACGCAGCGACACGCTTCCCGGTAGGCGAGGTTCTAACTTGTCGGTAGACCTGTTGACAGTTGCGTTGGAGAAGGGCGCGCAGAAGAAGTTGGGTTTCTCGATCGTCGGCGGTGTGGACAGTAATAAAGGGCGTATGGGCATCTTCGTGAAGGACATCATGCCCGACGGACAGGCTGCGGAAGAAGGTATCGTGATCGCTTTTGTAATACCGGATCACTCGGGTAGTATTCCCGGGAGAAATCGAACACCAGCCGGAAACTACTAGTCAGTTTTTTGATCGGTTAAGCTTTAACCGGACAGTAATCTGAGAATGAGTGTGTTGGAGTGAAACTGGGTCGAAAACTAGCCAACAAACAGATTGGTACGTAATGGCTGGTTTATGCTTAGTTAAAACGCAATATTCTGGATCATATACTTTAGACATTCACTGCAGTGAAGTTGGACAGTGCTCTCTCAAATCGAATTAGCGAAAGTGTCACTGATTGAATCGGTAAAATCATCGATAATCAATGAATGTTCGCTGAATTTTAGTGGAAAGAGTTTCACTTGGTTCTTTCGTCTTATACATTATCGATTTTCGCCAGTAGAAGATATATATATATATATATATTGCTATACTTATAACTACATATGATGACCAGTGATTATGGACTGTTTCGCAGTAAAGCGATAATGTACTAATTGCACTGTAGAAAGTAGGAAGTAATATTGGACAATAACCGCAGGCGGGATTCTTAGCCAGTTACTGGCTAGGTTCTAGTTTGTCTTCTACTCAGGAAACGGTTAGTCTTACTATCTAGTTATTTCCGAAACAAGTACCGGTCAATCTGGCTGGTTTTTAATCCGAATTCCCGGCTAGATTCCATTTTCTACACGAGCGATCTGCAGCTCAAGTTGAATCCAGCAAACAGCTGAAATTCAATCTAACAGCAAATGCAAGAGGAGAGGGGACGGTTTCTGACATAGTCGTTCGTTCGTAATGTTGAAGGTACCATGAGAGTGGGGGACGAAATTTTAGCTATCAATGGCTCCTCCTTGAACGGACTGACACACGCCAAGGCACTGCAGATGTTCAAAAGCGCCAAAGCCGGAAACATGATACTCCGCATCGCTCGGAGGGATCACACGCATAAACGGTTGTCAGACTAATCACGCAGTTTCGAATATTTAATTACTACTAACACGGTTAGTGCGTCCCGCTTTGCTCTATTAACAATCACAACCGGATGTTGCTGGGACTTTCACTTGCTTTCGCAGCGATCCCAATCAATGATGATCATCGATCGAAGACCGTACGAGTCTCAAATCTAACGAAGGGTTTTATGTTGCAGATACGTCACACAGTCCAAGTCTTACGATTGCCTCGACAAATTGACCAAGTCCACCGGCGAATGAAACCGTCCGCCATCGTCGTCCCGTTGAATCTGGTTTCTCGTCAAGCGCGTTCGACTCGTCAGTCGGTCGAAACACTTTGTGAAACACGACTTCCTCACCCGAGTTTGCGAGCTTCACCCCGAATTATATCAATATTCACGAGACGTCCGCACATTGGTCGTCGATACTTCTCGTTGCACTATTCTCCCGTTCTGTTCTCTGCATTTCGGTTAATGTCTTACGGTGCTTCCGACGATATTTTCGATTTTGCAGCAATACACGCGAATCACGCGATTCAAATCCGCTTGAATCCGCGATACTGATTCCATTCTTGCGCTAATCAGTAATATTTTGTAGCAACATCTGCCTTCGATGGATGTATAGTTCACACGAGTAAGCGATATTTTATGTTATGAGCCGCGTGTAACGTTTCATCCCTGAAAATCTGAAAGATCTCGGATACAAGAACAGTTCATACATATATTCATTTGTGTTCGTTATGTATCATTCGTGTTCATCTAAGAAAAGGACAGTCGAGACGAACGATCATTTCCAATATCCGAATCATGCATATCGAAGTATTCACATCCTCTCCCCCTGTATCTTTTTACAATGCAAACGTTACATAGGAACGTTGAGAAGATAAAGTTCAACTAGTTAGCGATAGAGATATTATTACGCAGCCTTATAACCATGTCCTGTTAGATGAGGTACGCTAACAACTCGGAATATGGTTTAACACCATCGTGGGATTTAACATATGTTTTTTTCCTTGAAAACGTATCGTTGTGTAAATCGACCTGCGCTATGTAAGAAGAGAAACAAAACTGACAAGCGTTCATTTCATCCGAGAGCACGTAAGTCATCGATCGTACATACAACGTTATTAATACATTAATTACTAGTATTAGTCTTCGTTAAGTTACTGTTTTTTTTTTTTTTTCTTTTATAAGAGACTGACATAAGGAATGTCTACCTACAAAAATGCTGTGATATCGATTGTAGTCTCACCAGCTGATATTACTAGGGAAACCGTGTATTTAATAATGATAAACGTGATTTTTTGTTGAATAAAACTGTACTTCTCTCGCGAACTGCCTCCTTTTAGTCTCGCAGGATGACATTTCGCAGAATATACGACGATCAGGACTTTCATCCTGCGCCGAGTCGATCGTTGATCACGAAGACGTGTCGAAGAATGGCTAGAAGTTCCGATTCTCAGACTAATGTCCTCCGACTATTCTTTCAGCGATAAGAATGCCGTGAAGTAAGACACGCCCGTTCGTACCACCTGTGGATCGCAATGGAGAGAGAGAGAGAGAGAGAGAGAGAGAAAGACCGAGGGAAGCACGTAAGTCGCGTTTTCTGTATAATGCAAATCGATTTTACAAATTCTTGCACTCACCGTAGTGGCGAGCGCCATTGACAACGGGAACAAATTACCCGCCGTCAATTTGCACGGTATGATGCTGCGGTAAAGAATAATAATTAACAATGACTTCAATCGCTGCGAGAACCTGTACCATTCCGCGGCATATCTGAAAGAATTTGTTCGAAAGTTTGCCTTTCATATCGCCCTTTATATCGTCAGAAATGATACATCTGACGCGAAAATATCCGTGTGTGTGCGTGTGTGTGTGTGTGTGTGTGTGTGTGTGTGTGCGTGTGTGCGTGTACACAGTAAAAATATATTTAGAAATATAAAATAATTATATTACGCTCGATAGAATATGTTTTGACTTTCGTCCATTAATTTTTGACCAGAGTAACATATGATCATCAACTGTAACAACGCTTCTATAATTATGAATACGAATCTAATCATTTCTTCCAGCTGGTTTAACACATAGACGATCTACAATGCATCAAAAGTAATACATAAATATATATACATCCGCGTCATTTCAAATATGATAATGTCATCACGCGATAATGATGCTCGGACCCGCGAGATCACGCAGTTACGGTTGCGCCTTTCTTACTCGAGCGGCGCAAAGAGGAGCTCAAGACGAGTCACTTCGCGCCAGCTGAGTAGAAAGAATACTCGCTCGATTAATTAAATCGCGGGATAATGTTGCATGCCCCGATGCTTACTCGAATGCCAACGAGACTGAAAGTCGCGCTGATCAGTAAGGAGAAACTAATCGCCACGAAACGATGCGTATCGTTCAGTATATCGACGAATCTACAAAGACAAATCATTTCGTGAACTTCGTGACATCCCCAGCGCATACACATTACACAACGACATTCACAGTCCGATCTTATATTTAAATCTTAAGACGACCTTAAGTAGTCGTAGAATTAATATTGGGAAAAATCATGAGAAAAGAGATTGGAGGGGGAAGGTCGAATTAATTTTCTTGACTATTTGTCGATTGTTCGAGTAGAAGAAAAGTGCTCGTCCAATTTCACAAGTGTGCTGAATCGATCACAAATATCACTTTTTAGATATATCTTTTTATTTGAAAGTATAACGCAAGGAATCTTGGCATGCGATTTTCCCGCTTCTGACGTCATTAAACAAGGACAGCATGTATAGCGACTACTCCGGAGCCTTAAACATATTGTCTGTTTGATAAGAGCGTGTCCGGCGGAACTGTTAGACAGGGAATTTCAATGAGAGCAATTCGAGGGAACCCTAAGATGCGTTGTAAAGGGACTTTATATAAATGCGTCGTAGGGAAAGAGCCCCTCTACCTGTTCGTTGAAAAGTTTTCGATGTAACGGTTTTCAAACAGAAGTTTATCCGGTCACGCTCTCATTAGACAGACACTCGGTAAGATATCCTATCACAAGAACCGCTCACTCTATAGCAAGTTGATGTTTCTTCAGGCATACGATGTATTCCTGATATATTACTTGCTCGCTGATCGACTCGAAATTCGTGTTCACGCTGTAAGACAACGGTAACGACGACAACGGCGACATCTCGACTTCATCGTTTGCACTTTCGTTTCGCGCTTTCGAGCGCGACGTTATATTTTCGATTTGCTGACTGTAATCGACGATATAACACGGCAATCGGAGGATCTCAGTGAAGGAATAACGTTACTCACGACTTACCCGATTAGTTGGAACAGGCTGCACGCATGTGCGGTGCACACTATGTGCATGGTATCTGCAGCCACCATGATGCTGATACCCACTACGATCATGATATTGGTGTAAACGAAGATCGGCACGAAGTACTTGTCCCGGTCGACGCCGAATTCTGCGTACACCGCGAGTTGCAGCGGACGAGACTCGTTGAGAGGCACAAAGGTGTCGAGCACCAACGGCATCAGGATCGGTATCGTTATGAATATCGACATCATCGAATATGTAATCGCTAGAAATTCGTGATATTATGTGTTATCGAGGATAGAGGGGAATCTGGGGACTCTTGATCCTTTGGATGACTCGATCTCTAACCGTTATTTCGGCAATAGAAGGATCTGAATTTGTTTCATGTTAGCAGCGGTATTCATTCTTAACGTAGGGAATCCTTAATGTGGAAAATGTTAAGTGCCATTTTGACAGTTGAGCGCCGGTAACAGTAGGATAAGGATATGTTTTGTCTTTTGGGCTGCCCAATACTTTTCTTCGTAAATGTTTAATTGTTTTTGTTTTAAGTTGTTAAGTTTTGTTAATTAGATTAAAGCTCCATAATGGGGTGAAAAGTTTGTTGCTTTAAAAGGGCAATTACGAGGTTAGTCAACGAAAATCTGTGCAAAAAATAAGATGAAAATTCAAAAGTAGTACTTTGGGGAGACACGATCCTCGGCAGAACAAAGGACACTCGGTACATTTCGATTGTTTTGCCAAACTGTAAATTACTCTAAGAATTATTACTATTTTTTAACTTGATCAATGTTAGATACTCTATTAAATTATCTATGATATCAGCACAAGAACATTTCGATTTTCTTTTCATGTTGGGAGATATTGAACCAAATCAAACGAGAGGATCAAGTCCCTCTATCGATGACCCCGCGAGCAACCGATCCAACTTGGGAAGCGTCCGTCCGTATTCCATTTGCTACCTCTCGACTCAACGTGCATACTCACTCGCGTAAAACACTGTGAATTTGTGCGACACGGTCGAGTAGTCTTTCAGAATCCGGGCTTCCAGATCGCTCGTGAACGTGTCCCAATGGTCCTCCATGATCTCGTACAGACGTCGAAACTGATCGGGCGCGGGAAACGAGAGGGGCGGTCGGACGTGAGAGAAAACGCATCGTACTTGAGTATGAGTGAAACAGAGGCAAGCGGGGGACGCTTGAAAGGAGACACCAACCTTGTCGCGGTTCCACAGCTGATTCAGTAACTTGATGAGAAAAGCGAAAGTTATGACCATCTGATAGCAGCACTCGAAGACCATCCGTCCGTTACTTCTGTGCTCGTATAACGTTAGTATCTGCGGATAAACGACACCTGTAACGACACCCGTCTGCTGCATACCGCAAAGGGCGGGTTCGGAAAACTTGAGCGATTACCTCGAACGGCAGGTAACTGATTTCGAGCACGAAGCAGCACGTCGATAAGAAGCGTTTCGCGAGCTCGCTCTGGAACGGCCAACAGCCTAGCCACGACAAGAAGATTCGATTGGTGTTGTATTCCCGAAGCACGTGTACCAGCATGACTTCTCTCCTGTAATCGCTCGTCAAGGGGGATCACGGACGGAAATGTTACGCGCGTCACGTTGCACCGCCGATGGCACAAGTTGCAACGATATCACGCGACTAGGAAATTACAGAGTGTCAAAGTACATAATACCGTCGGTCCTCGAAACTAAACCGGTAGTTAGCGTCCCGTCTATTCGAGATGCACTATTTTTCACGCATTCGGACTGACATTTGTCTTTGGTCTCAGATAGCAACGATGTATCGCGTGATTCGCGACAGGCGTATATAAGAATATAAGAATAACGATGAAAAAGTGTCCTACTCGCCCGGTGCTCGCGCCCCCTCGTCCTGTCTCGCGGTGATGTTTCGCCCCTATACTTTCCCGTCTCGCGGGAAAATATCTAATGCTAAAGTCGCCGAGAAAGCTGGCGACCGAGCTTATATTACGCTCGAGTGTAACAACTCTCGTTATTATTCAAGGATAGATGGTGAATATTTGATACTTGTCAGTAATCTCATACATTTTTAGCGAGTGTACTCGCTGCTTCGTCTTCCTCGATCAAATAATCCCCGGTAGTCTCCGAGCTATTTACAGACGCGCGTAGAAGAGATGCGTCGTGATCGCGGTTGTTACTCAGTCGTCGGCAGCGGACGAATCAGGATGCGCTTCCACGGAGATTCTCTCGGTCTTCGCGAACCGGCACGCGACCGGCCACGTTGATTGTGAACGCCGGGGGGAGATTCGATCCACGACACCGGTGAGAAGGTCGCACGATATCTTTCTGAGGTGAGCCTTCCGCAAATCGTAACGGGATTCCAGGACAGAGGCGCGAGAGAGCCGAGTGCATTGTATACGCGCATTTCAGACATAACCCACGGCACCCCGATTAACGATCGCGGCTCATTAGTGCCGATGCCTGGCAGAACCGAATGGGAAGGATTTCATGGCGGCCGGCGGTGTCACGACGGTCGTGTGGATACGCTTCACCGTAAGAATCCTTCGCGAAAGTAAACTCGAGCGAGTCGGAATCTTCATCACAACGTTGAAGCAACATTATCTTCCGATGCGAATTCATCCCTCTCGTGCTGTTTCTAATTCTATTCCACCTACCACCATCTTGAAAAATCTTAGAATTCTTAGAATAAGGCGAGGGACGCCAGGACATTCGTGGACGTCGCGTACTGGGGCGGCGTAATCCCGGGAAATCAGGTATACATTGCATTTGAATTTGTAATTGTAGTTATGTTTAATTGAGAAACGTCGGAGACACTCGGCTTACGGAGTTGATCAGTCTTTGAATGACAAGAATGCCGTGAAGTAAGACATGCCTGTTCGTACCACCTTAAATCGAGCATTATCGCGTGAGTCATTCTCGAAAGTCGTATTGGAAATCGAAGAGATTATTTATGCGCGCCTACACGCATTTACTCACCCCGGCGTAAGTCATCATTGACAACGGTAGTAATTTACCTGCAGTTAAACTGCACGGTACAATGCTCCTATAAAGAGTTATGATCATTAGGGACTTGAGTCTCGGCGAGAAAGTGTACCATTCCACTGCGTATCTGCAGAAATAATTTCCACGATTATTTCCATTCATTTTTCTTGCGGAAAATGTGTTTTGCGAGGAATTGTTCTTTTAATTACTTCATTATATATATATATATATATATATATATATATATATATATAAAAAACATCATGAAAAGTGGCAAATATTAAATAATTATAATAGAAAAGTAATGAATACACATATAATGAATTAATATTGAGATTGTGTCATAATCTATCGATCACTGTGTGTGCTCGTCGTTGATTGGTGAGCGAAAAATCGCATCGCAGATTCTTACGAAGATATATGGATGCTACGTAAAGCATACGTAAATATTAGTAGCTTGTAAAAGTTCGTTGAATTTTCAGCCGTATTTCTTTGGTTAATAGTAACGAAACAATACATTCCACTTTCAGTTAAAATATCTGTCATTGTTATTCGCTATTTTCCGTCATTTAGATAATTATCTGTAGACTCTACGTCTATAAAAAGGCTCAACAATGACTTTTATGCCAATTAAATCACCGACAGTTTGACGAACTTTCGCACAAGCCCCTAATAAATATAATTGAAAATATGAAGCAATTATTACGCTCTATGGAACACATTCTGACTTTCGTCTATTAATTTCTGACCGGAATAACACATGATCATCAATTGCAGCAACGCTCCCATAATTATGCACGTAAACCTAAACATCTCTTCCGCTTGATCTAATACATAGACGACCTATAATACATAAAAAATATTATATATCCGCATTATCTGAAGTGGAAACGATTTCACAGAATTAATGCAATAATAAACCGCAAATAATGCTAGTAGATGACGTCAGTCTCGCATCCGTTTTTGCTCGAAGTCGCACAAAGTTGAAATAAATAGATTTTACATTTTTCTAATTTCCAAACCTCGCCCGTTCATCGGGAGATGCATATTTCCATCATCGAATTTACCTTTTTATCACTACTCATCCTGCACACATAGTTACTTAACGCTAATTATTATTACTTACTCGAACTCCAATCAAACTCAGGGTTGCACCAATCAGCAACAGGAAAAATATCGCGGCTGTTTGATGCGTTGAATTCAATATATTGACAAACCTAAACATCACGATGACAGTATATATATATATATATTTTTTTTTTTTGTTCACACACACGCGTGCGCGCAAAATCTTATATTTTCACGACGGTTGATTTATATTAATATAATAATAGTCAGTTAGAGAGATATTCGAGAAAATTCGACTTACTCTAGCGCGAGTTGATATTTTCTCAAACAATCGACATATCTCCCGTATATCACACGCTCGTCGGACAAATTGAGTTCCGCGTTCACACTGTAGCCGCATTTGCTCACGTCCTGTTTCAACACGTTCTCGATTTGCTTGCTGCAGAATAAGATTCGGCTCTTACAATATTTCCCGAAAATGGTCCGAAGTATCGTTACGTTCACACGACTCACCCTACAATCGAGAACAGACAGCAGGCGTGAGTGGTACAGGTGAAATGCATCGTGTCCGCGCCCACCATGATGCTGATGCCCACGACGATGATCGCGGTGGTATAGCAAAAGATCGGTATGAAATAATCGTTCGGGTCAACGCGAAATTCAACGTCGATCGCCAAGACTCGCGGACGCGACTCGTTGAGTGGTAACACGATGTCCAGGAACACCGGTGTCAACGGTATTACCACAAACATCGACATTAGAAGGTACATCATCGCTGAAATTTCGCCGCGGGAAAAATCAACGATCCGTCACCGCCGTTGCGTTTCCGCGTCTCATCAATCGCTGATTCGGTCTTATTTATTATACTTGACTCACTTGAGTAGAAAATCGTGAACTTTCGCGACACGGTGGAATACTCCTTTAGAATCCGAATCTCCAAGTCGTCCGTAAATATATCCCAGTGCGCGTTCATGGCTTCGTACAAACGCCCAAACTGACGTCAACAATGTCTATATCAACGAGAATCTCGCCTGGATAACGATTGAAATAAAAGAAAGAAAGAAACAGAAAACACCGTTGACGAATTATCGATGCAAAATGATACGTCACTTTTCTGCTCAGTTTCACCGTTCTACCTGCACACCACACAGAAACCGAGAAAGGTTTGGGAACACTCTATATATTATATATATAAGTTATGAACTTTATACCGCTGTTTTCAAAATAAAATAGTCAATGATGCTGAAATTTTTGTTTCTACATTAATCGTCAATATTGCAGTAGTTTTTTAATTAAAGTCCCAAGTGTGATTTAGAAAAATTAAAATTAGAAGTTAAAAATAGGACATTAGCATGAAAGAATGCATATAAAAAGTGTCATTTTTAGGTGCGAATATCTCAGTTTCCGAATAGTCAATCGTCTTATAAATTGCCAATAATTATATCATATTTAAATCTATATATAGTGCAAGTTTCAACGAGTTCTGAAAAAAGAAACTCAATTTGTATTACCTTAAGTACCGTTCGGAAGATTTACCTTGTCGCGATTCCACATCTCATTCCACAGTCTCACGAGGAAAGCGGTCGTAATGACCAATTGGTAGCAACTCTCGAAGATCATTTGTGCGTCGTCGCGATGATCATAAAACATCAGTATCTGGACACAACGTTAATCCGTTGGTCCGTTCTTTTTAGCTGAAGCGACGGCACTGGTTCGAGAAATTCACGCACACTCAAGCATGAAAATCTCGTGTTTACGCTTCACACGCTTCAATATATATATATACGTAAATTTCTTGAACTAGTGCAGCCAGTTTAACTAAAAAGACCACGTGTGTCGAGTCGTATGGCCGCACAATAAAGAATCGCACTCGGAATATTACCTCGAACGGGTAGTAACTTATTTCGAGCACTAGGCAAAGGATCGGCAAAAGGGTCCTCGTCAGTTTGCTCTGGAACGGCCAAAGGCCCAAGTGCGACAGAAATATCCGGTTGGCATTGTACTCTCGCAGCACATGCTCCAGCATGATATCACGCTTTCTGTTCGAGGGCTGCGATGCGAGTGACGCGCCAAAGACACACGGGTTATCCATCGACCCTCCGCGTCCGGAGCGGTAACCAGAGTTGCGAAATTACAGTATGTCAGGACTCGTCGTTCGTTGTTTCCCTCGTTGGCAAGACTATCGTCTCAACGCTGAAATCGTTCTTATTATCCTCCCCCGGTTGTTTGTGCGCAATAGCACGGGTATACATTTTTCAGAGTAACACTTCTTACCTTCTGACATGGCAAAAATAAATGAAATAACACGTACGCGCGATATGGCGAGATCAAAAGGGAGAGAAGGAATATTCTGCGCCTTGCCGCCACATGTCACTTTATTGATTCGTTACGTCTGTCTTCCTTCCCTTCCCTTTTCTCACTATGTTTACAATTTTTGTTCACCACGATGGCCCATCGAGCGTAAAATGCGTTTTCGCGGAGGCGCCCTTTCTTTTTAATTCCTTCCTACCTTACCTCACCTAAACTCGTGCATCGGTTATGTGGTGTGCAGCATTCGTTTAAATGCCGACGCAGACGAAATCATGAGAAGCTGAGAGGGAGCACTACAAAGTCCAGTTCGTCTACTTTTTTAACGACAGGAAGGTCATGAAGTAAGATACAGCCGTCCGTACTACCTTGAATCAAGACGTGGCGATGAAATTTGCCGTTGTCGGATGAATTTGCGGATCTCTCTCTTCGTACTTACTGCGGCGTAGGTCGTCATCGACAATGGTATCATTTTGCCCGCCGTCAAAACGCACGGTACAATGCCACGGTGAAGAGTTATGATCAGCAGCGATTTCAGCCTCGGTGGAAATTCGTACCATTCCGCCGCGTATCTGGAAGAATAATTAACTCTCGGATGGGCTCGTTTTTGTCTGATCGAAAATTTGTGAAGATCTTCGTTTAAAAGTCCGGCACGCGAAAGTAATGGACACGAAATGAGTGAATGTAATCGATTTCGATCTCTAATTTTGTCGAGTAGAATTCGATAAAAAATTTGGACACTCCCGCTTTCGAGGCGGAATCGTTCTTACGCTCGGTGGAACACATCCTGGCTCTCGTCTATTAACTTTTGGCCGGAGTAACACAAGATCAGGAGCTGGAGTAACATCGCTATGACTATAAAGCCGAATCTTATCGTGTTCTCCGTCTGGTCCAATATATAAACTATCTACAATGCATTGAATATCATCGTGACTATTCAGAATTTTTTATTACACTAATTAAAACGTAGGAGTGACATGATCCCCCGAATCAAATCTCTCTCATTTCCGGGCCAAGTTTCCTAGAATGGGGACGCATGGAATATTGTTTTATTGAAATGTAAATTACTCTGCGAATTATTATTACTTTTTATCTTGATCAATGTAATTAGATACATTATTAAAAAATATATCGATATATATATTTGCATAAGAACGTTAAAATTTCCTTTCTTTTTTTGAGATACTCAACAAAATCAAAAGAGGGGATCCTATGATTCCGCTATAAAATTAATTGCTCAACCCTTACTCGAACTCCAACCACACTTATAGTCGCACCATTCATCAATAACAAGAGCAACGAAATCATTTGATAAGCGGAATTGAACGTATTAACGAACCTGCGGACGGATGATTCACGTGAATGTATTATCGCGATGTTAAGTCGCATCATTTGGTCACATATCACTTTAGCACACTAAACTGGACTTACTCCAAAGCAAGCTGATGTTTTTTCAAACATACGATATATTTCTCGTACAAAACTTGTTCGCTCGGCATATCGAAGATGTCGGGATGATCGCGTTTCTTAATCGTCTCGTTGTCATACAGTTGCGATGTTATCTCTTCCAGTTGCCGACTATAAAATAAGATATGATAGTTGGGGAACCGCTCAAAGTATCATGTATGACATTTAATTACTAATACGTACTTAATGATCGTGAATAAACTGCAAGCGTGAGCAGTAAAAGCGACGTACATGCTATCGACGCCGACCATGACTATCATGCCTAATCCGATGATGCCAACGTGATAACAAAAAATTAGTACAAAGTATTTATCCTGATCCAGCCGTAGCTCAGCGACAACCGCGAGCGTCCGTGGACGTGACTCGTTGAGAGGCCGTACGATATCCAAGAAGATCGGTACTAACGGTATCGATATAAATAACGTTGTCATACAGTAAAGCAACACTGCGACAAATTTCATAATAAGTATATGTGTTTTCCACATATGGACAAATATCGTTAGATCGATATTTCATCGGGTGAAATATTCGCTCGTTGGAATATCTTAACCCTTTTAGTGCCGGGAGCCGATATATCGGCTCCTGCTACACCGGCGAGAAGTGCCAGAGCCGATATATCGGCCCGCACCTTATAGCGCTTTATTATTCGCATTGCGAGAGATCTCTATCAAAATAAATTTAAAATACGTTATAAATAGTCTAATTTCATTACGAGAGAATTAAAATAAATAATTTTTAAATATTGCTTTTCGTTTGGTTTTTATGAGCCTTTTACCAAATCCTAGTAAAATCGGCCGGTTATCTTCGCATAAGCACCTCTTTTTCGCCCGGCACTAAAAGGGTTAATCAAGTGAAGCAGGCCGCAAAAGTTTCATGACATTTAACACATTATAAACCTACACTTAAATTTGTCAAAAATATGAGGCGTATGAGGCTTGTGTGTGAAAGTTATAAGAAATATTATAACATATTTTTTTTTTTAATCTCAAGTAACATAAAGATATCTAAAGATATAAACAAAATTATACAAAAATCTACATACATTATTATGAGAAGAACGTCTAATACGTATGATTTAATTTTTAATTGCTCTATGATATATCTAAGGTCTGTCAAAGTCCATACAAAGTAATAAATCTTTAATATTTCCTTGTAAGTGGCAGAATTTTTTTATACTTGTATTTGATAAGCGAACATGTATATCATTTTACTCACACGAGTAAAATATTGTAAATTTTTGTGATGCGACGGTGTAGTCTTTGAGAATTCGAACTTCCGACTCGCTCGTGAATATATTCCAATGGTTTTCTATGGCTTCGTATAGATGTCGAATCTGGCCGTAACGACATAACGACGACAAAGAAATAACACGAAAAAGAAAACGATTTATCATCTGAATTTCTTGAAGATAACAATCGGGGAACTCACTGAAATGGAAAATATCATTCTCACTGAGCTTACTTTGTCGCTGTTACAAATCTCATTGACCAGCTTCCCGATGAAGATAGTCAACAGGACGCACTGATAACAGCCTTCGAAAAGTACTTGTGCGTCGTTCCAGTGATCATATATCATTAACACCTAAACACAACGTTATCACGTTATCACGGTCCACAGTAATATCAAATTAAAATACGTCAAGATCAGTCAAAATCATCGCATGTTACCTCCATCGGGGAGTAACAGATGTCAATTAAGAGATAACAGAATGGTAACAGGCGTCTCATGACTCTACTCTGAAACGGCCAAAGACCCAACCACGATAAGAACACCCTGTTGAGATTGTATTCTCGCATCACGTGCACCAGCATTGTATCCCGTTCAAGAGCTGCGATGCGAGTGAGACGCGTTTCATCTATTAACCTTCCGTATTCTGAGTGGTAACGAGAATTATAAAATTACAATCTGTTAAGAATCGTCGCTCGTTGTTTCCGAACAAGATCGTCACAAAACTGAAATTACTCTTATTCCTCCTTCTTCCTTCAGTATTGCACGTAACGGCGCATTTTTTATATATTTTTCAGAGTGACACTTATTCTTTGACGTGCAGCACGGGCAAAAACACATCGAATAACATATAAGCGATATAATATGAGGGTGAGAACGAACATCCCCTGCCTTGCTAGCACACATCACTTTATTGATCTGTTGTGTCTACTGTTCTTTTCTTTTTTCTACTATACTTACAATTTTCTCAGCATGTACCACGATTGCTTATTATGAGCGCGAATGCGTTTTAGCGGGGGTACTATTTATACTACTCCCTTTCTACCTCACTTCGCCTCGTTTCGTGCATCGGTTACATGGCGTGTGTAACATTTGTTTAGGTGTCGATGCAGGCAAAAACGTGATGCACAGAGAGGTAGTATTACAAAGTTGAATTCGTCTGCTTTTTTAACGACAAGTAGGTCATGAAGTGCAACTTGCGTCATATATGTCAAAGATGGTTTTGCACTTCCCACTCCCTTGTATTTTGTCATTTGTTAGAAAATAAACGAAATATGAGCGATGTGTCGACTTACCTCCGTAGCCAACCAGCCGTGGTCTCCCTTGTGCAGTTAATTTTAAACGTTACAAATTATTGATTTTCCTAACGATAACAGATAATAATAACGTTTGGAATTATCCGTATATCCAGTTACTGAAAGACCCGGGTAGCACAAATTCAGCTCCTTGTATGTCGTGTTTTAGCGCGGTCGTTGGTGGACGCGGGCGTTTAAAGTCCTCTCAGCGGACAACGCGCGGACGTGCTCTGACGGAATTGCTACCCACGAGATCCGTGTTGGTCGCATTGTTTAGTTACTTCGCGATTACTTCGTACTACATCGCGATTGCTCGCGCGAATATACTTGTACGTTTGCAGTTCCACACAGGATATACGGAGAGACGACGTACGCGGATATCCTCTTCTCGAAACACGCGCACATAATAAACATCGTAGTGTGACATCCCGTATATAAATGTCTGGTATTTTTCGCCCGTCACAGCATTAATAAAATTGTCTATATCTGAATGACCGAACCGAATTGACCTATATCTGAACTTTTTTATTTAGAATTACTTTGGAAACAAATTCTAAAAGTTTGTCGATCTCTTCGCGACCATATTATATATATGTGTGTGTGTGTGTGTGTGAAACGATGAAGAAGGGTGACGCACGTACACACGACGCACGTATGTATCCAAATCAGCGTTCCTCTTAATTTTTTTTATTAAAATCTTTATTTTCTGTGTTTCGTAGCGTTCTCCTAAATAATAATTAACGTAACTTAACGTGAAATCATGGTGTGATAGAGAGAGAGAGAGAGAGAAAGAGAGAGAGAGAGAGAGAGAGAGAAAATATAATGCTCGATATATTAGAATTATGGAAACTTTCACTCAAGTTGGTAAATGGTACGATATATAAATGGAGCAGATTTAGGATACGTAGAGTAATCTTAAGATTATAAATCGACAATGAGAACGACACGACCGATTAACAAAAATGGATCGATCGCTCGACTGACCGATGACTCGGCAATTATACGCAATTAGGGCGATATAGACAGAGATGGTGGTGATTGTGTGTTTTAATTTATGGGGTTTAGACTCGAGGAATATCGTCCACGTCGAGAAAGTGACGGCGTCTCGGAAAAAAGAAAAAAAGAAAGAGAGAAAGCGAGAGAGAGAGAGAGAAAGGGCATTTCCGCGTAAAAACAGAACAGGGGCGATTTTCGCTTGAAGATGCGTGATATAAATCCGGAAACGAGAGAGAGAGAGAGAGAGAAAGAGAGGGCGGAGGAGAGAGAGAGATCAGCTGCGGCTTCTCTCGACGCGTACGACACACACGCTGCTTCGATCCGAAAGTCTATACCCTCTCGTCAGAGAATATTACAATATGAGAGTTAAGTCATACCAATATACTTAACACGATACACAAAGTTTACATCCCGAGTATTAAATGGATTAACGATCAAATACCACGGTTCAAGCGAAACGGGGGGGAGGGGGATAACTCGACATTAGAATACGGATCGGCAACCAGGTACATATGTATGTGGATCTCTTTTGAAAATTTTTACCCAATTTCCAAATACGCCTCGCACTTTTTTTTTTCGTCGAGCCTCACTCACTCGCTCATGTTCCGCGTGAACCGGGTGCTCTCCCTTGAGAAACGGAAGTAAAAAAGAAAAAAAAAAAAAAAGAAACAAGAACATTTTGTCGTTAAATCGATTCGTATTTCACTTAAAAACGACAACGGATAATAAACAGATATATCCATATCGACATAATAAATCGTATAGAACAAACGAACTGGAAGAAACTTTAGACGAAATACTATTTTTGCCACAAATACAAATACATCCATCTTTCCGGATCGTTGCCCTCGCACGAGGATGACAATGGTAATTTCACGATGCTCTCGTGAATGTGGAAATACAGAAAATTCCCGTTCAATGCGGATAAATTCGCTCGATAAATACCTCTCGTTCATTATGCTCACGAATCGAAGTCTCGCGTGAAAGATACATTTTGTTACAGATGTAATATGTATGTGTGTGTTACGTGTGCGTGTGTGTACGTGTGTGTGGAAGAAAAGAACGTTCAAGTTCCGCTTCGTTTCTTTTTTATCAGTCTTCAAATAGATCGCTTTGAATATAACGTAACGTCGTTATGACTATGCCGCCGCTGCACACAATCTAAAGGTTCGAAAAGTGTATTCCACAGTCGCACAGTGACATCCGGCTAGTTCTCCAACGTTTTCTACGGTTTTCCCTCCTTCTTTCTTTCTTTCGTTTTATACACACGTTTCTCGTATACAAATAAAAACAAAATATACAATCCCGGACGAATTCCGACGCACGCCGGCGGGATCGTCTTCTCTCACTTATCACGCATCTCTCGTTCCTTTTTCATTCGTGGTTGATTGAATTAATCCGAACGAATCGCAGGCATAACATCCCGTCGATCTTATATACCGAGACGCCGAGAGACCGTTCGGAAATACCGCCAAGAAGAATATACCGGCAAGTGTCGAATGTTCTACGAAAATGAGGGGGTCTTAACGATATTTGTAGCAAAAATATACATGTCACATTACTCCCCGCGATCATATACGATTATACAAAAAGAAAAACTTAACAGAGACGGGAACGAAGAAGAGTTTTGGCAAAGAAGAACATAACGTTTATAACGAACGTCGAACAACCAGTTACTCAGTGTCAAACGGGCGCGGCTGTACAAATTGTGATAACCCACTGACAACGAGCTCGATGATCGCACATCTACACTTAAGAATCTATTATTTATATGACGATACTGCTCATACGATTTCCTCACAAACGAGCGTCAACGGTACCGCGAACGAAACTAATGATCCACGCTACTTGATTCAGATTATACCAATAATCATGTGTACCGATACAGTATGTACATGCGTTATTTGCCAAATAACATATGTACTGCTCCATCTCCATACGATTTTACGCTTCTCCTTTACCTCAATGAGAGCGAACGCACGCTAATGATTCAGAGACGCATATCAGTAACATTATCAAAGTAACGATACCTGAAACGAGAGCCCCTCGAGTACAACTGTTCAATCAGCCATTATTGTAATACTGGCAATATTTACAAGAAAAGACAAAATAAGATGCATATTTTCGGATTTTTACGGGAAACGATGATAATCGTTCGCAATTAGCGTGACGGCAGAAAAAAACTACACTTATGATCACGTAGGAAGATGAAGCACGAGGAACAGAATGCGCGTGTGTGTGTGTGTGTGTATATATATGTACGTGTTGTGTACGTGTATGTGTGTGTATTTGTGTGAATGTGCGCGTGTATGCGAATCAATGGAGGATGTGTACTTTTATGTATGTATGTACGAAACAAATTGCATAGATGCTCAAAAGTGCGATACAAATTCGGAGAGTGTTAAAGCAACTACGAATCAATCATTGTAATTTACACAGTTTCTGCAACGTAAGTTTCGTGACGTGATACAAAAATTAAACGCCTAACTGCGACAAATCTATTACAGTATTTTCTTCCCCTTTTTTCGTGTGAAAACAGACGTCGGGTGTATCTCGCGTACGACCTGATAGCGAAAATTAGAGTCGTCAAAGTTATTAGCGTTACGATATTCCGTTGTTAATTCTAATGGACAAATTCGCTTCAGAAGCGTCAAGTTTGGCCATTTAGTCGTCGCGCGAACGATGGCTGATTATGGCGGTGCGCATAAAATCATATGTAGCATCGTTTCGAAACAGTTCCTCCATTGTGAACAATTGCGAGAATTATTAACATCAATTGTTAATCGATGTGTACACGATAAATGCATTATTGTAAACAATATATAATCGAGTGATCGGCGAAAACAATAATTTTATCGCTGTTGATTATTATCATTTGCAAGGGACCAACTCTTCGAAAACAAATTTGCGCATAAGAATTAATTAATTCCGTCAGATAATATTCAGCTCGCTCATCTTCTATTAAGAAAAATTACAGCTCGTCTATACGGTCACAACGTTTTATAAAATAGAGAATTGCGACGCATCGGAAACAATAGATTTAAATATCGCGAATTAAGATGAAACACACAACCAAAACTTTCAAGCTTCTCCCATTACGTTTGTGCCTTCTGGTAAAAAGACTCTAAAGAGTACTTCTTGCATTATATACATCTATACATCTTTCGAATTCCTATACTCGATTGAATGTTACGACAGGATATATGATATTATGTTATAGAAAGTTACAAGCAATCCCGACGACATTGCAAAAGAAAGGAACCCGAGATAATGAAATTCTCCTCGATATTTCGCTACTTGAGAAAGAAAACGCGCACGACTTTACGATACCTATACATTAGTAGTATCTGCCTCGTTCCTACGTTCTAAGTAAAAGATGAACATGCATATTAATTGCTGCATTGTATACGATACAAGCATTACAAGGCTCTACGTCTCACCTAATCTAACAATGTTGCGGAATACGCTATTTGCCGAATGTAAAAAAATATTGCTTCTTGTGTCAAAAATCTGACTCGATTACTGTTTATACAGAAAATTAGCTTTACGAAACACATTTAATTGCAAGTCTGTAAAGTTCGCTAAAACTTTCGTGACTTCTATGATCATGTACTCTCTAGAGCCTCCCGATATGAAGCTATACTTTATTTACCCTATTTAGTCATTTCGTTTCCAATTAAATTTGTTGAGAAACGCTTTGGTTGTGCACTCGCGTAATATATATCGCTTATGAGATACTTGGCTGAAAATAGTTTCGAGAGAAAAAAAAAAAACAAGAAGAAAGAAAGAAATTAAGTGACATTCACCTTTCTTGCCACCGAATTGCACAAAACATCCGTATTTTTTCGTAGGAAAAAAAGAATGCGGTACTTATAATAAAATAATGAAAGAAACACTTAAAAATCTCTCCAGTATTATTAATCTAAAAATGCTAACTATAATCTCCTCCCGTTAAAAAGACAGGAAGCACGATTGCGCAAACGCATTTTTCAGAATATTTATACTGTTTCGCACGTACAACATATGCATCCTTGAGAAAGTACTAAAATTACTATGTCGTTCATAACAATTGGGGATTCTCAGTCAAAACATAAGAATCAATTCCAGATGAAATGATACCTTACATTTACCAATACAATTACCGGTCTAATCGTTAATGACCGAAAATTTGTAGATACGAAAACCAAAACTGCACGGCAGCCTTTTTAGCCATCAAAGGAATTATACGTTAGATTAATTCAATATCTTAAGTTACCTAGTTACTGTTGTGTTTGTGTATCAAATCATTATCATAACAATTACTTGTTGGGCACACACCGAATTAAAGTCTCATCTGTAAGCACGTGTCATTTTTTTCGGTACGATTCGGTAACCGCTGTTCATTAGCCATCCTCTTTCGGGGGCGTGAACCAACCTGCCGGAAAGCACAAGATGAAGCGGTCGAACGAATAACACGGGAGGACGCAGGACGAAGTAAAACGGACTCACCATTCTTTTCATGTATTTGTACAAGAGACTTGAATGACTGTTGGGCACGTGCCAAACTGTATTGGCCTTGTCCACCGCACACTTTGCCAGCACCACCTGATCCTTGGAACTGTATACGCGCTTTGCCCTTCACTAACGTTGCCGAAATCTGCATTATAACAGCTTCCACTGTGTATGCCGAACTCCATCCTTGTTTCGTAAGAAGCTCCATACAAATGGCGCCTCCTACGAGAACATACCCGCCAGAAATGATGGGATGCACAACTCTCACGAATGGAGGCTCGAATGGATAAGTTTCCTGCGAGGACAATTTGTCGATTAGATATCCGAGAAGAGCACCAAAAGCGAACCTGCCCGAAATCTAACGTCACACAAACCGAGAGTTCACACTTTGGTTTGTACAAATACCTTAAAAAGCATGTTGAGTAGAATACTGTCTTTGCCCTCTTTCTCTTTTAGAAGAATGAGATCGCTATGAAGTGGTGAATCAGGATCTACACACATCAACCTGATATTCCATTCGTACAAACTGTCATTTACTAGTTCTATGCTATACATTCCTGGAAAAGGAAACGCAAGAATGCAATATAACGAGCGAGATACAGAATACACGTCGCAACTTGAAACGGTTGCAAGGATGTAGCGTACCTTTTTTAAAGCTGTCACTTCGATAAATATCACGTAGTTCCTTCATGAGTCTATCAGTGGCTTGTACGCTTCCGCAAACAGATCCTTTTAAATAGTCTTGTCTCTGATTCTGTCTCAACCTTTCCAACGTCGCAAGATGCTCCAAATCCATTTCCTCGCCCTGCAACCGTCGGAAGTCACAGGATAACAGCAAATGCGATATCCGCGGTTGAATCGATGCCAAGTTCTTTCTTTACCTTACTCTTGGCATTGGCATCTCCCTCATCCATGTCCAGGTGGAGGTCTTCCTCAGTCTCGCTCTCTTCGTCCTCGTCGAAGTCATCAACGTCCTCAGCGTCCATTCTCTGCGCCACGGCTTCGTTCGGTCCTCCCAAACGTAAAGGATCCAAAGCCGTTCTGAGTCTTTCGACGTCCGGTGGTTCTGGTAACGAGTGTAGTCTGCATAGTTCCTTCAGAAGGATCCCGACTTGGTTGATTACATGGTTGTCGCGGCCTGTCGTGTTGCTTAAAATTTGTACAGCGTTCGTAACACTAGTTTCCTCGGACTCAGCGAACCAGACCGGCGGTGTAGAAGGATAGGTTTCCTACATAAACATTATCAACATTGATGCAGCTGCACACTGTAGACGTCGGTGTACACAGGGAAACGACATTTGCGATGATTATACCGAGAAATAAAATATATATATATATAAAGAGGAAACCGACCTTACATCATCAAAATTTTACAAGTGGAGCTCCAAGACGCGATAATTAACTTTCCCATACACGCACGCGAGCGCGCACGCACACAGCAGCACACATACCGCACACCTGACATCTATCGCGCAATCGGTAAATGATGTACGAAAGATGCAGCACGCACCGCACGAGGGACAACACGCGTTAAAAGAGGAGAGGAGAAGCAGAAGAAAAGAGTGAGATCGCAGCCGATTGCCATGGTCTCCGTGGTGACACCATACGTTGCGTACCACGTGTGTTACGCCTGCGAGACGGAATCAAATCCGCCTCGCAATTAAGTTGCAATCGATGTATGCGGAATCGTAACCGATCGAGCACGACACATTGTGTGCGAAGATTTACAATCTCCTTTTTCTTTGTCTGTCTCACACACACGCGCGCTCTCTCTCTCTCCTCCATTCTCTCCGTCTCTACATCCTAACGATGATATTAATACATACGGCATCATTAATTGCCTAGCAGTTCCGGTTCAAGCGTTTTCGGCCTGAGCGCGTCCTGTTTAAATATACCCGTGCGTTAGAATCGATTGTAATAAAGAAGAAAAAAAAGAGTAAGCGCTCTTCAATCAACAGTCACGACGCGAACATCTGAGCACGAGACGCGATGTCGCTTGGAGAACGCATGAATCGCGGGGAGGGGGATGGAGCCGATGAGGGTGATCGAAGAACGTCGCGTGCGACGACCCTTTAAAATCCCCGACAGAAAACGCGTAACGTCCCACACGAGGGGGGGAGAGAGAGAAGCTCGTTTTCTGTCCACGGCAAGCATCGACATTTACCGCTTATTGTTAATCCGGCAAACACGAATCCCTGGCGTTCGCGGCAAAGCGACAATGTCGAGAAAAAATCAATGGCACCGACGACATCAAGACGATCGGCCTACCGGAGGAAAACAGGTAGTAACGAAAGCAGCGTGAAATCAGTACCGTTAAGGAGCGGGTCCTGTCAATAGGACCCAAACAGCAGGTACCGAGTCATTGTTTCTTTGTCCAACTATTTGAGACGAACGTCTCAGCGAGCCGAAGGTCTGCCGGTGTCTCCAGTCCAGGATGATGGGTGCACGGTGGAGCAACGGGGGCGTTAGGAAGCGACGAACGAAGCAACGAGTAAGAAGGGACTAACGCGGACAGACGCACGTATGGACGGACGCGAAAACAAGGACAGCGTTTAATCGGCACTCGCGTACATTCTCGCGGTTCCACTTACTGTGATGTTGGCGTGTATTTCGTACTTCTTCCCATTTTTACCGACGAACCTGCAGCTGAGCTCGTCCACGCTCGCGGACATTATCTGAAACCTCTCATGGCTCTTGGGGAAGACGGATTCGAGCGTTTTGATTTCCTGCTTGAGGGTGTTCAGACAAGCCATTTGCGGAATGGCGTGTAGTAGGAGAGCTGCGCCCCGAATCCCACGGCGTTTTACCGTCCGCCCGGACGAAATTACGACGGATCCCCGAGGTGTGTGTAACACGACGATCCCGATGACTACCCAACAAAATGGCGACTGGCCCGAGGTACCCTCGGCTAGTCTCGTGCGAGTTCACTCGCGGCGTCGTACTTCGCGCTTCAACTTAGGTGAGCCTTTTGATCGAACGTACCTCTACATATTCGTGCATCGTGACGCGAGTCCTCTCCGATACGTTCCTTCTAATCGCCGTTTTTGCGCTGCGTTCTGAAAACGATTGCCCAACCATCGAGCAGTGTGGGGTCCTAGACGGTTCCATCCCACCGCCCCTTTGTACGCATGCGTCAACATACGTCACTCTACGGACATTAAAGGTACAATTTTATGATAGCGTCGAGCGTCAGAGCCAATCAGCAGACAATAGGTTGTCTGCTGATTGGCTCTGACGCTCGACGCTACCATGAAATTCTATCTTTACAGATTCGTATTTTAGATACAGTACAGGACGCTTAATGGGGCGAAATGCAATTTTTTATATTATTGATCTTTTCATATCGATTATTGTATAAAAATATCTTAAACGTTATTACTTTGTGTATATCGGAACAATAATTGTAATAAATGAGTTTTTACAAAAAAAAACTTTTCCTCTCCCTCTATTTTACAATCATTGCGTTTTTTTCTTACAAGAGCCCTAATAGTATTCAATATTTCAGTGGCCGACATTCGTAGACTATGTTTACACGGCAACGTTAATCTAGTTGCAACCGTACTCTAGTAATCTAGTAACAACCGTAATTAGTGAACTCTTGCATCTGATTGGTATATCCTTTTAAATCTAAAAATATATTCCAATTAAATGCAAGAGTTCATTAACTATGGTAATTACTAAACCGGATTACCATTAACACGTAGTCATAGTCGGACTTTATATTTAAGACTGTCTTATCTTCAGATACTTCGCAGCCAATGAAATGAGCTGTACAGCATCTGAAAATAAATTAAAGACGGTTTTATATATATAAGATCCGACTATGAATATCCGAAGGAAACCTCCCCACTACCGAATGACTGTCTCCTTTGATTGTGATATTCTTTTAGATCCGCGATAAATCGAAAAAGAGCGTTCCAATGACAGTAAGCACTCATTCAATCGTTGTTTCCTGAACATAGCCTTTGTTACCAGTAGAATTTATGATAGGGAGTTTTTGCAATAACATCTTTAAGATACGGTGGGCGCTAAAATGCGCTCTTGTTGTTCAGGAGTACAGCTAAAAAGAACAGACCACATGTAATTCCGAACATTTCCAAACTTTCGCTCACGACATAAACCGAAATCAGTGTACTACCCCCTTCTGCTAAAATCATTAACTACCCCTCGCAAAAAACTCCGTCAAGATATTCTTAAGTCTATGTTACAAATGGTCTGATTTCTGTTCTTGAACTGAGTTGCACTTTTTAAAATGTTAGAATAAGACAAGTATATAACTTAACGTTGAAGGGAGAAGGAACGAATTTCCAGTGTAGCTCTATATGTAATTCAAGAACAGAATACAGATCTAAAGAGTAAGTTTAAATAGCAATGGATAACTGCGAAACTGTGTGTTGTTTATTGCAATTTATTATTAATTTGGATGCTCCTTGAAAAAGTAAGAATATTAATAAGGAAACGAAAAATAAGATGATGGAAAAAGTTTTACATTTCTGTAGATATGAGGCAAAATTTTGGCGCTCATAGAAGGCTGTTTACGTATTTCAAAACAAATGGTCTAGAAAATTTTTTTAAATTTACAAGAATGTTGGTATAACAATTGATACTTTACACGATCTTTTTCTAAAATCAAAGCTATACAAAAAAGTCATAGCTTCTGTCAACAGAAATTTGTATTACTGTTATATATAGTACGGAAAATTACAATTATATTTATTTTGTAAATTTTGTAACCTTATATATATATATATATATATTCATTTTTTTTAATATTCAATAATACATTATTACAAATTTTACTTTGTTTTTCTAGTTTCTTTACAAAAATAATGTTACAACTACGACTGTTTTATTT